CAATGGAAACTGCATCATCTGTCATTTATCTCGCGGACGCATCACTCAAGGGACATATTAATTCCATCAATTTAGGGCCAGGTTGCCCACACAGTAGCTTTCCTGCATTCTCATCGCCCCCCCCCCACACACACACACAATTTTTTTTGCCTTTGTGCACCTTTGATTCGCCAGACGCTTCGTTCAGACAGTACCGAGCGTGACAGACAGACGCAGGCACGCCATTGGCGACTTGTGTGGATTAGCCTACGGATGAGATCCGGTTCTCGAATGATTGGATTGTATGTGCACTACAGCAACTACCATCGCTACTTCAACTTCTACGCTTCACCGAGAAAGCAATCGATCTGTTTCGGCTTCACAGTCTGTTTTCTGCAGGTACTTTTTCACGCTATAGAATCAGCACAGAACGCCTTATGGGACTGCCTGTGTCTGTCTGCCTACCTACCGCTTTCTTCTAGGAGGTAGGCAATTTGCAACAACTGGACACTATTTTTATTGTTAATCCTATTGTTTTTTGTTATTCTTATTCGTTGGCTTCACCTTCGCTTTGGTGGACACCTCTGACATCTCTGGTTTCATCACCAAGGCCTCAGGAAGATCGGTGAGGTGCTTCGCCACCCACGGGGATAATTCACTTTCGGTGACTACACCGCCTGGGGACTCCCCCTGGCAATGCATCAACGCCTATTCCATCCGGGACTTTTTAACCTCGGGGCCTTTATCATCTAAGCACTTCCCCGCTTGCTTGCTTCGTTGGAGCCTGGTCCCGTTTCATTTCTTGTTCCCGTGTCTCTGTACTCTGGGATATCTGTTATGTGCCTAGTCCACGAGGACTATGGAAATATGTTTTCTGTTCTCACAGGGCTTCGACCGTGATGGTTGGATCTACACTGGTCCTAGCAGGTCTTTGATCCATCTGAGCTGTCTGACTTTGGTGCTTTGCCCTCAGTGGCATTGTCCCTTTCAGTTTTGGGAACTTATGGGCATCATTAATCTCAGGTTAGGTAATCCAGGCTTCAGGGAGATGTGCACTGCCGCCGAGGGGTTTTCCACCCATGAAGCTAGGCCATTTCCAGGGAGTAAATTCCTCCGGAACACCTCAAGTTAATGCTCGCAACTCCTACTCCAGACCAGAATTACATAGTCCCTATGTCTTCGTCTCGCTATCATAAAACAACAAGGGAACGACCATTTCTTTAAAATAGCTTTAAGGTTTGTTTAATTTTTCTACTTTAACGTTATTTGACCGTGGTAACCGAAATTTGAAATGACTGTGGAGAATAAAATAATAGGCTGTGTTAAGAAACACGTGTACAAAATAATTAAACTCATTCAAACGTGCTCCGCTTTCCTTACCCTATTGATTATGGTCACATATATTCAGGAACCTGTTCACCTTCTGAAACACTTGTCGTTTTCTTACAATTAACGTGCAGCGAAGTAATAATTTCGATTACAGCTGAACTTTCTACGTAATTATTCTGCACTGCTGATTTCTGCAGTGGAAGCGAAAGACACATGGACAACATTACCGACTAACGTCTAAAACGTTAACAATAATTACACTTGTTCCGTCGATCGACCACCTATTGTCCACAGGGCACAGCCATAGGCTTGTAATTGCCTCAGGCACGGTGAAGTCAAGAGTGAATTATATAACTTCTTAGAAACACAGTCAAGTTGTAATACGTATTACTCTTCAATCAGCATAGCTAATTTGGCATTTTCTTGCGTTCCTTTGTTTTATTGTTGTCGAAACTGTTCCAGGTGTTCTAGGAAAGCCGTTAATAGGGTTCTAATTGCTAAATGAAAAAGAGATTAAGGAGCGTCAACTGTGGTCTTCTGGGTTGAGATTTCATGTGGTCTTGTGGGAGAACACTGACTTGTCGGAAGAGAGGTATCGCTTCCATCATCATCAAAGAAAATGGTTGCTAACCACCTACAAGATCACGTCATCATAACCAAGAAGACCACAATCGACATCTTTACCACCGTGAGAAACTCAAGTCTCAGAAATTAACTATTATATGGCTTCCGTTTTGTACCATAAAGATAGAGGTAGTGTGTTTCTCCGAAACGTCTGCAAAATTTACACAATTATACGGCGTCACATCTAAAAAAGAAAACCCTGTACTGACACCCTGCACCGTGTGATTACCTGAAGTTAACTGTGTGAATTCCAAACAAAATAATTACCACAAATCGCTGTATTTCCCCCTCAGTGTCATATTTAAAACTATTATTATGTTGATACGTCGTAATACGCACGTACTAATAATGACATATTATCTTGTATTTAGCTCATGGGTCACAAGCTGCGTGCGAAGCCCCTATTGATTACGGCCATCAAAGTTGTTTGTGATGACCAGTGTAGGTTCGAACCCTATGGTCTTGTCTATTAGATGAACCTACCTTTTCCACGTCCTCTGAGCACCCGCACAAAGGGAACCCCCTGTGGGCTGGATTGCCACACTCGGCACAGTTGAGGTAAAGGAAGAAAACCTTCTTGTTGTTCCCTGCCAAGGAAGCACAAAAGACCAAAAACGGTAACTTTTTTCCTGCGTTTTTCGAACATGAGGATACCTGAGCCTCCTTCAGACCCCATGAAACGTTTTGATTTATTAAAGTTTGGGCAGGCAATGCCTGCATCACGCCCACTCAGAATAGACACAACACATAAGCACCGCGTTTAGCTACAGCCTGTCGAGACTTCGCACGCAGTTCATAACGACAATGCCGAGCACTGATAGGCCATACATCTCCCGTCAGATCTTCCTTCGGTCTATTATGAAATGTCCCTCGCTTGAATCGAAAACAGACAAACATCCTAAGAGCTGTTATTCTCTCCCGCAATCTGCCTATATGTGATTTTAGTTATGTTTGAACACCTCGGAAAAATGAGGGGCGAGAAGAAGGGAGATACAGAACAGCATACGACTTACAAGGATTCCTCTGAGGTCGTGTAGCTTTTGTTCCATGATTTTTTCTTACGGTCTTACAGAATAATAGTTCCTAATTATGATGTAATGCTTCTGCTTTAGAGAGCTATCACTAGGTTATGTAACTCCGTACAGATTAATCTTTTGAATCATAGCCTTCAACATTTTTGCTTTTATGAACGCAAATATCGCTGCCTAAACTATGCGCTTGGCTTGACAATCTACATCACTTGAAGGCATGCAGATTTTTCCAGGTTTTTAATAATTATCTTGCATCACTAATTGCGTAATTGTTTACCACTGGGATATGCAGTTCTGATCGTTAAACTGGAATTGACTCTTGGCATGCTTGGCCACGAAATGTACGGTGAGGATTGCATAAGACACCAATCCTACGGAGAAGAAATAAAACTGATACGTACGAGGCAAAACTTTACTCTCCCACACGTCTTCTTGGCGAGGCGTTCAGTGACGTGTCAGACACAAATTTATCTTTGCATTCTAAGACAGTGATGACAAGAGAAAGGACTTGGTCCTTGAATATGAAAGTGCTCTCATGTGTTCTTCCTGGAAATACTAACAGAACGTAGGCCCTTCTCACGTGTGATATTGCAGTTAACCATCACCTGAATAACAGCAGCATATTTCAAAACTGTACCTTCGCAATATTCTTAAAATTAAAATATCTTATAATAGGAAGATTAGTGTTATGCGTATAATAATGAAAAGACGTAGACGAACTGAAATGTCAAACCTAAAATGGGAGGGACATTTCAATTCTTTATTTAGCGCAACTAAAATTTTTGGTAATACTTTTAGGCATTTGTATTTACACTTACAATATTATGTAGTGGTTCTTTATCTGCACTGTGTTTCGAATTCCCTCTAGTGGATTCTGTGATTTCCCATGAAGAAGAACAAGTCACGAGATCTAAGAGATGCGAACTACACACCTCCGTACTGCAGAGTCCTTCTTGGGAAGCTTAATAATTCGTTTAGCTAAGAAATTCCCAACTTTATAACAAACCCGAAGTTTTTGTGTTTACAAAAGCCCGCTGCTAGTCTCGATCCTGAACCAGACGAATCCAATCCACACCCTCATACATTATTTATGACCCATTTTAATATTATCATCTGATCCGCGCCTAGATTTCCCAGTCGATCTCCTTACTCCAGGCTTTACAGCTCAGGAAAATGGTGTATTCATTTCCCATTTATCTCATGCGTGTTCCACTCCCCCTCAATTCATCCCTTTTGAGATGATTACGTTCACAATATTGCGTGAAAAATACAAATTATGAAGATCTTCACCATGACGTTTTCTCCATATTTTCTGTTGTTTCCTCTTACGTTCATAATTTACATTCTCCTCAGCACCCAGTATTCAGACATCCTTAATCTCGTCACTGGTTTCACAAACGCCCTCAGTCTGTTCTTCCCTCATGATGAGAGACCATGTTTCACACCCATACTAGATTACCTATTTCTGCTGATGATGCAAGGGCAGAGGTTCTGAAAGTAACTGTGCCACAGGCAGATTGCAGTGTCCGTGTATACGGCAGACAGGCGAGTTCACTGGACCCAGTCGAGCTTCGAACAATGGCCAATTATAGCACCGCGAGGATGATCATCCACCACTCGGGTATCATCACTCTTGCATTAAAGTAGACTCTTTCAGCGCAATTTCCTTGAAGACGTTGCTTTATCATTCTAGTACGGTGGTTTCGATTCTAAATTAACAGTTACCAACATTTGACTTTTGGTCTGCGTAACTTTCAACTAGATTCCAGCACTTTAGTTAAAGATTTGCAAAAGTTTCTTCCTCTAAGTTAAGCTCGCGTTTCGTACAATATTTCTTTCTTACTGAAGTTTGATCACAAAATGACAATTTCACACCGTGCCATCCGATTAGAGCTTGCATTTTCCTTAAAGTGTTCTGCTCTGTTGGTTGCTTGACGGCGCTTGGTAGCTAAGTAATCATATGGCATTGAGTGGCACGATGATTGACTTATGTGAATAATTATGTTGAAAAAGTGCGTAAGACAGTTTAAGAGACCAGTGTTTGCTTACGGGAGCTGAGCAAATCACAGAACGGACTCAGAGTGGTAGGTTTCTGGGCCCATATTAGAACCCGAAATATTTCGAATACGAAGCAAACAAATGAAATGTTTGATCACTTTGCTTTCACCCTGAGTGAAAGTTTTGAATAGGTTCATGTCGCCAAATATTTGTTGGACTGCATACAATTAAAATACTAACTTAGACTATTATTGCACACAGGTTCATATATTAGTAGTTTTCAAGTTGTTTCTGGACTTATTTAATCCACTGCCATTGCTTGAGCAGTCTTTTAATGTGTAGTTTAACCCTTGTTATTTTATTTCCTATGCATTGTCGCAAGTGTTTATCAGTGCTATGCGTCCTACGTCTTAAATTGGCGTTCTTCATTAAGGTGAACAGATGCTCACATTGCCTGGCTCTGCCAAATAAAGACGTAGTTAGCAAATTGTATTTTCTAATATCAGGTAATTATTTTTCGTCGCATTAAATGACACATTAGTCTGTTAAAATAAATAGCATTTCGGCAGGCCGCGGTTTGAGAACCCCTGCCGTAGACCACCAGAGGCTTAGAGGTCAGTCACCGACTTCTTGACTATTCCGACGCAGTGTTTGCAGTCCGTGAAAGCCTCAGTAGGAATGCACGCCACTAATGTGAGCCCTGTAATAATTTCTGAATAAATTTTCCAATAGGATTGACACTGATTGTTTCTGGCGATGGAACATTATTATTGATATTTTGAACGTTGTACTTCGTCTTGGGATCTTTAGAGACAATGATGCTGGCGTTAACTTGACTCTTTCCTTCGTCCTGTAACGGTAGATGGGGGGGACAAGGTTGCTCCTCCGTTGGACCTGTAGAACAAACCAGTCTCGACGACATCTTACCATGATAGTCTATAGGATTAAACTCGAAACACGGAAGTAATTGGATCCCTGAATGTTTGCAGGAAATGCACACTTATTTATTTTAAAAAAATTGGGCACTACACTATGTAAATTCAAAAGAGATCCACTGTTATTAGACGATAATGGACCCTCGGCATCATCATGTTAATATCAAGAGATATTAGACGGATCTGAAAGATTTTGTTGTCTGTTCCCTAACTAAGCCTATATTAGTCTTCGTATTAACTTCACAACCCTTTTGGTATTGTAAGTACGAAAGCAGTTTTGAGTTAAGTCAGCAACATTTCTTTTGTCACTTTACTGAATCGAAATAATACATATTTCATGAACTGAGACAAAGGAACCGAGAAGCATGTCTGTTCAGTGAATTGGTAACCACCAGACGTGCAAAACTTATTCACAGATGAATTGAAACCCACTTCCCCAATCCAAAACCACACACCACAATTACATATATTTCTGAAATGCTCATCACATTTCACATATTTCATATACATAAATCCGCTTGTTTGCCTCAGGGGCTAATTTCAGGGGTCGAATCCCTTATGTGGTAAAGCTAGAATATTTGGGATAGGGTGAGGGGTGACAATGCCCCCAATCAAGAGGCAGAGGGCGTGACGGTATACGGACAGCTGCCGTTCTCTCGGATGACGATCAGGGTGACATCTGGATATGAAATGAAATCTGAATTATTCGCCGACTGGTGTGGAGTTTGCCTAAGGCTTCATGTCTCACTTGATGCGTGTCAGAAAACGCATGTAAAGAAGTCGTCAATGTGTTACAGCTTTTCTCCAGTGCAGACTTTTAGTTTATGGTTTGATCTCACCGCCATGAGTCACGTATCCCTCCTGGTGGTGGCTCATGAAATATGTTTTAAAATTAATTTAGTTGGGATATAGGTAAAAGAATTACTCGTTACTACTTTAGCAAATAAAGTCATAGCTGAAGTGTGCTAACCACTATTTGTAGCCACCCTTGATTCGGTATGGTTTGTATTCTGAAATGAAGCCAAGACCGATAATTCTGAGAACGGTGTGTTATATTCAGATACCCGGGAAAATCCTTCCAGAGACCAATGCTGGCTTTGATAATGAACAATAGTCGATGTGTTAAAGTAGACCTTAACATTAGTGACTATAGCATCTGAAACGAAAAGCATTTTACATGCGCTGAGAATCTAATAGACACACTTGGTTCCTCAGTCTTGGAAGAATAAAAAATTGAAGACTTTTGAGGAGAAGATGGTGAAGAGAATATTTGGACATTCAAAGGAAAGTAAGAGGGGTCTGGAGAAAATGGTATAATTCAGAGCATCATAATTCGTATTCTTGAGATTCTGTTCGGATGATCAAATCAAGGAGTATGAAAATGGGTCGGAGTATGTAACACACGTGGTAGCCATGATAAACAGATACAAATTTTAGTTGGGAACTCTTAAAAGAAGAGTCTCTATGGACGATTTGGGCTTAGATGGGAGAATAGAGAAATAATATGTGAGTGTTGTTTGGATTTATCACTCAACAGGGACCAGTGGCAAACTGTTGTTACAGAGGCAATGGAATTTCGGGTTCCTGGGGGGGGGGGGGGGGGGGGGGGAGAATTTCTTGACTAGTTGAGCGACTGTTAGTTTGTGAGATTTGAGGTTTTCACAGCGACAAGCATGAAGATGACTATCTCTTGGGCTGTTGGGCCGCGTAGTCTGGTAGAAGTGTATCGACATTTAAGAGATTCTTTCTGCCTCCATAATCAGCGAGATAATGGAGGTGACCCGCAGTGGTACTGATTGTTTGCCTCTGTGCCAAGCTCGGCTTCAACCACGGCTACCGACCCGATAGAACTCAAATGTAGACAATCGGCGAGCAGCCTTCATATTCCCCCATCCTCTGTATGAATTACGCAACTAATTTTCCAAGTTCCTGCTGCAAAATGGCTCTAAACTGTAGTTCGCTGTGAAATATACCCCCCTGTAATGAGCAGTATGCTGAGGCCAAAATCACAGGAATTCCTATCACATACGGCAGATACAGCAAAGTAACAGGAATTCATATGAATGCGAATTTCTCTTCATAATAACAAGTGGAGATTTATCATTTATGCATCTCAGGGCCATACGATGAAAACACACCCATTGTTTTGTTGAGAAACAATGTAACTTGTATTATCGTACCAGTAGATTCAAAGAACAGCTTTGAAATTAACCCTCTGAAGCCTAGTTACTTTGATTAGTATTTATGTAAATGAATAAGGAGGATATGTAACGGTCTAAAATAAAAATAAAAATAATCTTAGTTGCAGCATGTTTTGACGTGTTAATACAAATGTCTAAATATGATAAGAATAGTCACAGAAATTCTGTAAGAGATTAGTAAGGATCCTGCAATAGAATTAAAGTCCTAAGAACTTAAGTAATAGTAGTTTTATTCTAGAAACGCAATATGTACAGAATTCTATTGCTTTAATATCTACTTCGGTTGTGCATGAGTACAATAATTAAACAATCATTTTGAGATTGAACTATCCTTCTGACAGCACAATACATTTACTAAGCATTCATCTCGAAGTCATTACCAGACCACCTTTTACAGAGCTCCTCTCAAGTCGTTATTATCACGTTGCCTTGCATGCTGCAAGTGAGGACCAAAGCAGTAGGTGTTTTCTCAGAGGTCCGTCCTGAGTAAGCTGAGTAACTTCAGAAGCACTATGGGTTGTATCCTCTGGTTGTATCGCGACCGGCAAATCTCTACTGGACGGGTGATCCCTGAAAAGACCGGGAAAACCCCAATTTAAATTTTTTTAACAAAAAAATAACTCTGGAAAATAATAATCCAGGGACCATGAATACTTCCCTTTTTTGTAACAAGATTTGTAAAGCAGGATCTTATATTATTATACAGTGTTGAATTTTTGTAACAAATACAAGAAATATGAAAAAATAAGCTCCATTATGAGTCATACAGTTTTATAAATTTACAATATGTAGAAGAATAATTTATACGTACATGCTTCAACACAAATTAATCCATAGATTATTGTTATGTTATCGTATATAAAATATTTATATCTTGCAATTTCGTATATTTCTTTTAAATTAATTGAACACTTCTTGTTTTGTAAGCGACTGAACTACAATAGTTTGAAATGCGTTTAGTTGAATTTTACGTTGTGCCTATATTAAAAAGAATATAACATTTAGAAAGTAACTTGGACTGCAAATAAATATTTTGTGTTGGCAACTCTGTTATCTGAGATCCCAGAGCAGCGACGCCGATGTTCCTTGCAACAGACTTCGTTGATAATGGAACTGTAACCGAATTAGGCGTACGCTGTGGTGGGGGCAAAATCAGTTCCCGAATATTCATTGGATTAATCATGTTTCTTACTCTGCGACCTCCTACGAGTGCTTCACCCTCAACAGCCCCTCGACAAGCTAGCTAGTGAGGGAGAAATGAGTTACCACAGGGCGAAACACCCCAGTTATTACGTTATTAGTTAGGATTGTTCTTATTTCTCAAACCCGTGGTAATAAAGACGGAAATCTCAGTCGGAAAATTGTGGCCCGAGAGCAGTTGTTCAGCCTCTGAAGTTTGTTTCGCTTTTCTTAAGCCATTCTCTTAAAAAACATCAGAATTATTTACGATTGTATCACGAAATTCTATTTATTGTTCATCCCAAACTTTTCATTCCCGTTTTATCGTGTTGTCTCATTGGTAATATTCATGCTGTTTATCTGAAAATTTAATTTATTTTATAATTTTGGATAAATTTAATGGCAGGATTAACCCAGTCCATTATTTTGAATTCGGAATATCATACTGCATTCATTTTAGTTCTGAAGATAGAGGCAGTGTATACTTTCGAAACTTTGATATATTCTTGCAGATTCACACACGTTGCAACTCAAAAGCTCAGCATCTTCATCACCACGAGAACAAACCTCATATATGCAGTGTAATTATAATCTCTAAGCTTAGTAGTATAATATCTATAAAATTTAGCTTTATAAGTAACACAACTCAGTTCCCAAGAATTGAGTTATATTGCAGCTAAACGGTAAAACACTTATCCTATGATTAAGCACTGATATCTTAGAGCGATAAGGATGCAGATTTCCATGCATTCTGTAGACTGTCTGGTACTACATGAACTTGTTTATAAGCTTCACGCAGTGCAAAAAGCTCCGTATAACAATTGGATAGGGCATAGCGTGAAGCGATAAATATCATTTTACAGTCGCCTATATTTCGATCGATATTCTATAAATACATGTTATAGGCCTAAATTATCTGTGAATAGCTATATTAATTTAGACGAATGTGCAAGGAATGAGCTAAAACGCTCTTTGGCGAAAGGTGTTCATTACTAAGCATAAGCAATAAATATGTTCAGTTTTATTAGGCATAATTAGGGACTTGTTACTCAAAATGTATACAGAACATATTAATAATAATTAATCGTATCAGTTATATGTGATATCGTTATGCCTACAAACCGATTCATGCATATAGATACAAAAGGTCGATTATCGAATACGGAATCGATAGGGCTATATGTATAATGTGCGTCTGTAGTTGGCTGGATCTGGAATCGGCCTAGATATGCCTTAAATAAGTTACGTCATTAGCTTACTTGGTAAGATGAAGGAAATTTAAATTTTTTATAAATTTTGGAGGTCAGTCTCTAAACATTGTTAGTTTGAGTCCTAAACCAGTCTACTTCTCTTAATTCTGGCAAGCCACGAAATAATTAATTCACTTGTGGAGATTTGTATCGAGTTTCAGATGCATAATGCGATGAGAAACAGAAATTCTCGCGTAATAACAACCAGACTGTAGCGCCGTAGGGCCCGTTCCAGAGGGCATGCGAAGATCTGATGGTGGTACTAGACACCTCCACCCCAACCCCAACTCACTGTGTCAGGGGGTAGTGGAGGGCGAGGCTAATTAGCCGATGACAGGCATATCACCAGCACGTCATGTCAGTCAGGCATTGCTTGTGTGACGGCTCTACGTGCGGCCTCGGGCTAACTTGTACCACCAACGTCCATGCAAAACTGGATCATAACACTGCCTCTGTATATCACACTTATTTTCGAGTTGCATTCTTTGCTACACACTGCTTCCCTTATCGAAATATAAAAATTACACGCCCCAGAAACATCGACGGGTCGTATGCGGCCTGGGGGCCGCGGGTTGACAACTCTGATTTAATAAGTGACAGTGACTTCGATGAAAATAATAAAGCCAGTGATAAGGAAAAATTTAAAATAAAAATTAAAGTTTACAATTCTGTATTTTGACCATTTAGAATCTAAAAGGAGTCTGGAATATAGAATGAAATATTTCGTGCTGCTGTCATAATCATGCAAGAAGATGATTAGTTAATGTTTATAGAACGACTTAAAACTCACAGTCTTGTGCATTATCAGCAATAAATTTTCTTTCTAGTTCTGACTATCTCCTTTCGACTGTTATTTGTTTATAAGAGAGGATACTTTTTTTCTGGCTTGGTCTTTGAACTTCGAAAAGGTCACGAGATATCACAAAATGTCAAGGACACAGCGTTAATATAATAAGAAATTATCGAAGACCTTGAATTATCCACTTGTGTCGCATCTAGTGTAACTGTGAAAGAACTGCACACGAGACAAGGCTCATCTAACCAATCTTAAAAATCTTAATTCCTACCTAAGAAACGATACAGTGCTTCTCCATCACAAAGATTAGTTGGTTAATGTCACTTCAGGGAGTCATTATTTGTTCTGAGAATCGTAAAGAACTCATAAATACACTCTGTGTGTAAAATGCAAAGTTACGAAATACAAAAGCAAATTGTAAATACACGTATTTGTCACTCTTTTTCAAGATGTTACAGGTGAGGAATTCCTTGACTCGCTAAACGACTGTTAGCTTCGAAATGAGGGCTTTGGTTCCTCCTCATGCTTAGTTGTAGTTGAACATGTCATCTAAATTTCGCGCTCTGCAATGTGAAATCCTTTTGTTTCACTTTGTCATTGCAACGTTCTCATAATGTGCTATTAAGTAAGATTATAGCTCACGCTATTTAAAAACTAATCTAAATTAAAGTCAATTTCAGTCACTCGACCTATTCCTTTGAAGTTGCCGATCTGTATAGATGCACAAAACACGGGCTGAACCACATGGTCTATTTTATTCAGTTTTTAGGCAATTTGTGAATTGTCCGTGTACCTTCGCTGCTTTTACAATATT